ATAATATATTATAGTTTCATATATTAACAAATAACTAATAATTTACTTATTACATATAGGTAGGTATCCACTATTAATCATATATACCTACTTTAGTCTAGTTTATATAATTCATACAAATATAATATTAGTCCAGTCAAATTAGGTTTTCAGCTCGAAAAAATTCCCACCTAGCTGAATTTTGGTACACACCTTTATGACATCGTTGTAAACAACATGTAAAAAGTCACCATCTATATCATGTACGCATCAAAGGTTATTCGAGGTCAAAGGTCTCGAAATTGGCATTTTTTTGAATATCTCGCTTTTTATGATTCTTACAATGAAAAGTTCTGGTTGTAAATTTTAGAGGAAGTAATTGTCTACAAAAAAGATCTTCTGACATTTTCCCGTAAAAGTTATAGTTTTTGCGTTATAAGGCCATCATAATGTATCAATATCACTAATTATTTTATTTATTGCCTTTCTTATTTGATGTTGATTGATTATATCTATTATATCAATATCCATTCGGCGATCTTTGGTATTATTGGATTGACTTTCACATAAACTTTTTATTAGAATCTTTACTTTTTTACTATTTAAATTGTTGAATATCGTTTTCCCCACGTAATTGTTATCATTTGTATTTGTTTTCGAACGTTGTAACTAATGTAAGCATGAATAAATTGAATTCATTAAATTGTATTATATGACTTGTCTCCTTCACAAGCTCAGGCCTCAGGAGACAAACCTTTTAACATATTATAATATAATATATTATGTCATATTGTAATTGTTTATTGTTTTTGAAATAATAAAGTGTTTAACTGTATCCATCTAATATCTATAAGTATCTTCCGTCAAAAATGTTCACACTGCAATCCTGCATACAGTGGCGCCGAGACAGTATTAAAATAGTCGGGCAAACTTTCCAAAATAGGCAATACACCCACCACGTACCCAAAAAAAATTTTTACAAATTAATGGGGGGCTCTGCCCCAAATACCCCCCTTAATAATATTCCTCTATTTACAATAACACACATTTTTATATATTTCTTTAAAAATTATTTAAATATATTATAAAAATTAATAATATTGGTACACATAACTTGAAACAGTTGTAATACTGTAATAATATAAGTAACTAATAATTAATAATAGAATTTCACAAATAAAATATTAATAGTAGTAGGTAGTTATAAATTATAATATAATAAAATAGATAGTAAATAAAATAATTTAAACTTTTAAATAAATAATTTTTATTTATTTTAATGATAATCACAGTAAAGAGTAAAATATTCACTAAAAACAAATTTACAAAAAACAATTAGATTATTTTAGTATTTTAATTTTTTATTTAAAACTGTAGATTTTGTCGCAAAGTTGTCTATTATTGTTTCTGAATCTAACTGTATATCAGCTTCACAGGTGATACGCATCAGATCTATCTTCCCCCATTGTGCTTCTTAAACGACTTTTTATTAATTTTAATTTGGAAAAAGATCTCTCTGGGGAACAGCTTGATACTGGAATAGTCACTCCAATTTTTATAAGCATAAATAAACTTGGGAAAATAGATTTTAGACCAGCTTTACAGAAATCTTGAAAAACACACATTAAACTTGATGAATTTTGCCACCTTTTTAATTGTTCAGATGTAGTATCATCACTGTTTGAATCGTTAGAGCTCAAACTTGAATTGTCATAATTTAAATTAGGATGCAGATACAGTGGAAAAGTTTCATTAACAATTAAATCACAATTTATAAACTGTTCATACTCCCTAGTCCCTACGGCCTACGGACATCTTCTAACTTTAATAATGTATTATATACCAAACAAACAGCCTTAAATGCATCTATAGGAATGCTTTTAGGGTTTTTTTTTTAATGCTTTTATACGTTTGATTGATAATAAAGCAAAATCTTTCATTACTTCAATAGTTTTATTAGTAAATCTTTGACTGATTTGTGTTGAAAGCAATATAATATAATAGGTATACCTAATAGAATATATAAATATATAATATATTTATAACAATTTATATTTTGGGTATAGGTTATAATGGTTATATTAAAAATCACAATAATTCCTACATTTATAGTTTTACTAAATTGATAATTTTAAATTTTAAAATTTTACAAAATTCCAATACATTTTAAAATTATAAGTAGATAAATAATTTTTATGATTACCTGCAGTAAGAGTGTCAGTTGGTAAAATCTCACTGACTGATGGTATTTGAATCTGTTTATCATAATCATTTTGGCCCAACAGATAAAACTTAATTGATATTTATAGAAAAAAAAACTAAAAAAAATGAAAACTGAAAATGTCCGTAAACAGCTCAAAAAGAATCAAAATATTTTCAAAATTGTATGGTGTATAGAAAATGCTAATTTAAACATTCAGTGAAATTTTCATGTATCTACAGTTGTTCGTTTTTGAATTACAACAAAATAAGGAAATCGCTACATGAGAAATCGAGTGAATATCCAATGTTGTAAAAATTTGAATTTCAAACGTTCATAAAAATTTAATTTGACTTTCTTATAGACATTTTTTTTGATAAAGGTAGATAATCTTATAAGGAATCTTGTATTACATTTTCAAATCTTAGATTTAAAAAGAAAAATTTTTACGAATTCTTAACTCAAAATAATTTACTAATTTTCGTGATTTTTCCATATTTTGTCAATTTTTGAACTTTAAATGTTTATAAAAAAAAATTGTGACTAAGGATTTTTAATATTTTTTATCTGCCTTTGAAACAATATTATACTAGGAGCCTTCTATTAAATTGTCAAGCTTTTTTAAGCAACAAATAAAATTTGTTCATTTGTTTTAGAGTTACACCAAAAACCAAAATCGATTTTTTGGAAAACTGATTTTGCGTAAATATTCCCGTTTTTCCTTAATTTTTGTGTTGTTTTTCCCGGCGCTTGTGAAAACTACTGGGAAATATTACTTTTGACCCCCCAAAGTACCAACTAGATTCACTTTCCAATCAGAAAAGATACTGTTGAAGAAAACCCAAGCACATTTACTGTAGTAAAACGTGATGACAGACACAAAAAAAAATAAAAAAAAAAAATTAATAAAAAAAAAAAAACACACATCATTGTAAAATCAATACATTCATCGTTTCACTCAGAATCTAATAGACTTTATTTATTTTTCCCGTACATAGATATGATATTATTACATGATATTATTAACATCATCGTCCACGGGCCAACCATTTATTAATAATGATAATAGCTATATTAATACAATAAATAGAATTATCAGAATTGACAATAGTTCGTACTTCGTAGTACCCATACCAACATAATATTAATTATTATATAGGTACATTTATAACAATATTATATAGTTATTTACGCTGTACACATCACACAGGTCTTACTGCATATAATTGGTACCTACCGTATTGCTTATTAGTTAATAGTTATTATATTCTAAAATGGCTAACGGAATTAATTGATTACGTGTTATGAAACAATAATATAATATCTATAAGAAGTATAGCATAATATTATTATTTATTATTATTTACAACCACCCACTTGACCACCACCACCACCACCACCACCACCCAAAAAATTTGGTCGGGCGACCGCCCGACCTATACCCCGTGTTCGGCGCCACTGCCTGCATACATTAGATTTAGGATTTGCATAATAAGTAGATAGGTAGGTCGTAGGACGTAGGTAGGTATATAGTTACTCTATAGTAGAATAATGACAATATACGTACTTAGTCTACTTTATCAACAAATCTATTATATATAGATATAAATAAATATATATATATATTATATGAATATAATATGTTACTATGTTAAATTTATTTATTTATTTTATACCTACCTATTAATTTTTGTTTAAGATGACGCTATACCAGAAGCGTCATTTCAACTTTTTTTTGTTGATGCAACAAGGAGCACCAAAACTGAGCCAAAAGGTGGTCAGATAGGGATCTATTGTCATCTTGAGACTCACGGTGGAAATTGAAACTTTTTTTTATACATAAATGGTTGCCATTAGTTACTCGGGCAAACCAGGTACAAGCAATCTCATAGATTGTTTTTAAAGATATCAGAAAAGTTTAGAGAGTTTAAATCACGTTTTAAATATACCAAGTATAATAAATTCAATCCACGACTAGTTGGTGAGCCCCTCTAGGTCGAATTATTTCACAAAACAAGATACCTACACTGAAGCTGATTTTTCCATGAATTGAGGTACACTGCCGTATACTAAAACTGAAAAACACTTATATAGCGTATATATAGGTACATACTATGTAGGATTTGTTACAAAAAAAAAACTACACACGGGCGAATCGGAATATTCAGCTAGTTGTATTATACTTTACGCTGTATACAAAACCTTACACAGGTACCTATGTAAAATAAAGATATATTTACGTTTGCGCCTTCACAAGTAGCTCTTGTAGCAAAAATTAAAAAACGACGTTTCATCACAAATTATATGACAACAGAACAGACTCAGCAGATGATTATGTACCTATTCTTATCAGTGCTCGAAATGGAAAATTTTCTGAACCGGAACGCTTTTTTTTGAGTACATACCATAGAATTGGGGGCTTCACCCAACCAAAATTACTAACCCTTTTTTAATAATAAATAAGTTGTGTCTATTATTTTATGAAACTCACATTATATTTTCAGCCCTTTTAAAAATTTAAATATATTTTTACCTTCTTTTACTTACTTACGAATATGTATATATTATATAAAATAAAAATATAAATATAAAAGAACTACTTAAAAACTTATATTTATTTAAATTCTATATTTATAACTAATAAAAAGGTACAGCATCAATACAATTTTTTTACAATAACCTCCACAGTGATTCGTAGGTCTTATCACACTTTTGATTTCTTTTACGACTTGCGGTATCATCAGCTGAATGTCGACCATTCAATAACCAAGATCGAACGTATTTTTCTGGTTCGAATTTCGTTAGAGGTGGTCCAACACAATTAATAAATAAAAGAGCAGCAACAGTTTTTATATTTAAAGAAGTTCTTAGTGGTGACATGATTTCGTTCACATTCGCTAGTCGATACTGGAATCGTTGCAATTGATTTATAAAGGGGTTTCAAATCTTCTGGAATTTCCTTTTTTCCCAAGTCCATTTTATAAATTCTAAAACTTTGAATAGTGCTTTTTTCATCAATTTGAAATTGTTGACATAAATTACGAATATTATAGTCACCAAATTGTATGTTATCTATTTGGCCATCATTCGAAAGTGGCCAATTTTTTGGATTCAATTTTTCAATATTATCAAGTAAGTTTTTAAACGTTTTGTCATTGTCTTGGCGATTTTTTTCATTACGACTGACATTTGATGAACTGGAAGTCATCATTCGAGATTTTAAATTATTAGCTAGGCTTTTGTAAAATTGTGCAGAATTATTTTAGAAACTTTACCACTGTGTAATATTACATTTTTATACGACATTTTGTTCTTTATTTCTTTTAATGCGTCAGTTAGTTTTGGACCCGGATCGGTTGCCATAGAATCTAATACACGTATTATTGTTCTTATAAATTTATCATCGTCTACTAACGTAATACTACGTTTTTGTAAATATTCTGACAAACTACGCTATCGGCGGACGACGAATGACGATTATCTAAAGATAAGCAATAAATTTACTAATGCGTCGCGACGTCGCGGTCGTTTGTCGTTTATTAAATATTTTACAATGCACAATTCTGCAAAATGTTTAAATTTTACAAAAATATAGTAGGTACAGTAAAAATTTGTTTGAACCGGAACGATAAACGTATTTTTTTTACGAACCGGAACGCTAAAAATTTTTTTGTCGTGAACCGGAACTGCGTTCCGGTGCGTTCCGGTCCATTTCGAGCCCTGATTCTTATGTAGTTAGGTATGGTATATATCACCATATGCGCTTCCAGACTTTCATGGTTGGAGAGGCGGATAGTATAGTACCTATATATACATTCTAGGATAGATCATTTCTGGAATATCGTCTGATCCATTATAGTTATTAAAATATAATATATTGCATGTCGCACATCTGGATGGGGAGGTAGGTGCCCACCCTGCCATCCCCGTTGAAACTCCTATGTGCATCACTATCTGAACATTATGTTTAATCACATATAAAGTAATAAAACTAAAAGCATAGCTATTAAAAGTTAAAAGTGTATAGTAAAATTATTGACCTACCTACCACCATATACTTCATTTTAATTTAATTAAATAGGTATAGTAACACGCATACTTTATGTCGTTTATGCAATAAAGTACTTGAAATAATTTGTTAAGTTAAGTAGGTATCTACATAATATTATAAAATAGATAGTAAAACCTTTTATTATATAATATTTTCTTTGATAGGTATATTACAAGCATAATATATAATATATCAATTAGTATTAGTTCATACTTAAAATATTTCATATATAATTGTGTGGGCTCCAAATAATTGATACAAATCTAAAATCTCAGTGCATTATTGTAGATCAATTTTTTTCCTACTAGTAGAAATTAATAGATGAGCTACTATAGGTACTCTAGGTACTGCTGAAGGACTGTTCATTTAACTTTAACCATTTAGCTAATTACGTGAAGTCGCAAGTTCGTTATTTTGATATCTATAGGTACACAGGCAAATCTATAGGGTGTTCGAGGCATGTTCCAATATGGTAGATTCTGTGTGACTCTTAGCTTGATTAGGGCCCCATAATTACCAAGTTAAATTTCTAAACTTTAACACTTTTAGATTCTGAGTGGAACGATGAATGTATTGATTTTACAATGATGTGTGTTTTTTTATTTTTGTATCTGTGTACACGATTAGTAGTAGAAATAATACTTCGATTATCAACTTCAGTATCTTGTTCGATGGGAAAGTTAATCTAGTTAGTGCATTTGGGAGGTCAAATTTTAAAAATCCCAATAGTTTTCACAAATACATGCAATTTTCACTGAATATTTATATTATATAAAGAGCTCAAAATAAGTCAAAATGTTATGGTGTATATAAAAGACTAGTATAAACATTCAGTCTAAATTCCATGTACTTACGGTAATTTGTTTAAGAGTAGCACCAAAAACCAAAATCGATTTTTTCGAAAACAGATTTTTCGTAAAAATTCTCGTTTTTCCTTAATTTTTCTTACTTTACGTTTGAAGTTTTGACCCCCCAAGTACCAACTAGATTGTCTTTCGAGGTTAGGGGTTTGCCTTCCCCCCATGGTCCCATAATGCCTTTTATTTGCGTGTTTGGAATTACCACCACAATTTTTCATTTAAATGTATTATTATTTATTACTTATAACATCCCCCCTCCATTGAAATATCCTAGGCAAAGTATAGGATATAAAGGATGCATATAAACAATAACATATATACCTACTTAATATTTTATTGCAATATGTAATATCATAATAATTTTGCAAAAAAAAGAAAAAACTACTGTTCAGGTCTGTCCCTTCCTATTTATTACATAGCTAATAAATGTATAGGTACTTCTAAGTTCTGAGTTCTAATATACGTTGTCGCTTTATACTACTCAATAACAATTTTAGTTTTATTAGTTTTATTTTGTACGTTCTATATTATAATGGACTAGATGTACCATGTACCTATACTCTTTTTGTATTTTTGATTCTGACCGGAGCGAGGAAGCTAATGGTTTTTATTTTTTTTATCCTGTATACAACATTTCTACCAGGAGTGCTTCGACATATGGTATCTTATATTTTAGCAAATTGGATCAAGATGGTATTTTAGACAGGTCATTTTTCAATTTTCTCAATAATTATATAATGCCACGGGAAATAACACCTAAAAATTACAATAAACCACTAAAAATAGAATTTTAATTTCCAACGCTTTGTTTATCACCATAGAAACGAATAAAAATTATAATATTATAATATCAATTCAACTTACAGTCTATAATAAAACAGTACAAAATATCCAGACTGACAAACCTCCGTTCAGAATCGTTTTTCTTATACAATGATATTATATCATATGAACCCAAGTTTAATACAATCCTAATCCATTATACATTGACTCACTTTAACCTACTGTACAGCAGAGCGACATCCACTTACCCGCTTTTTAAATCAAAAGACTAAATTTGTATTATACCCACTTGGTTGTTTTGCTTTACATAATAATATTATGTTAATGGGTACTATTCCGCGTATTGACGATTAACGCAATAACGATTGGTTGTCATAACTATAAATATATTACAGACTTACAAGTTACAGTCGTAGGACTGCCACATAAATAATTTATATTGTTATTCGTTAGATAGGTAACTTTATACCATACAAATTAACAATTAGTCCTTGGTTTTGAAAAATCAACTTGTGTCCAGGAAAATTATAATTAAAAAATATATGCTGGCCACTGGCCAGTGATGGGTAGAAATATTCTACTATTAACCGATGATTACATTTTAAGTGGATTTTACCTATAACTGAATATTCATAAATTTCATTAAATTAAACACTCGTTGAATTTTTCATTACTTAGGTATTAAGATGATGTATACTATTTATGTTAAAAATAATAACATTTTACTATGAAAAAATTAAATAGTGAAATTCAGAATTCTTGTAATCATACATGATAACTAAACCCTGTTATTAACAATTTAATCATTATCCACGATCAAGTTTGCTTATAAATTTTTTCATACCTAGTGAAATTATATTATTATTTACAAATTTACAACAATAGCTAGTACATCATCTTAATACTTAAGTAATTTAAAATTCAACAAGTGTATATTTAATGAAATGCATGAATTTTTACTATTTAGTTATAGGTAAAATCTACATAAACTGTAACTAATCATCGGTTAATCGTACAATTTTTTTTGCCCAACACTGATGCTGGCAAATTATTATTAATTAATTTTTTTTTTTTTTTTTTTGGGGGGGGGGGGTCATAATCGAGCCCCGTGCCACCCGTGTATATAGGCGTAGTACCTATATTAAAAAAATATTATAATATTATATAAGTGTACTTATGTCGAGTTGCATGGGAAATTGATTAATATTGATTGGTTCAATACAATTTAATGAAAAAATCATAGATCACTGAATAATGTTTAAACTTTAAGGGACCAATTATAGCTCACTATTGATTCAATAAATGTTTAGTGATTTTACAACTCGGCCTAAGACAATTATTAATGTTATAATATCTCTTGTGTTTTGAGAGAAATAATATTGCCTATTTTTAATAACGACATAAAAACATTGGAATATAACGCTAAGATTTTGGGAGAATATTATTCTGACCTATATTACCTATAGGCTATAGTAGCTATTATATAGGTACTATACTATACGATAACTACTAATAATTCGGTACAAATATGTTATTTTGCTCTTAAAAAATTGTTTCAAAGAGTGCCGACTATCGACGCTCTATAAGCGGCAACAATTGTGTTCATAATAAAACAAAAAAATGACTATGTTAATGATATTATGTAGGTAACCTATGATCTATACTCTATGGACGCAGGAAATCCGTTTGCACAGGCTGTCACTCGTCCCTCGTTCTATTTCGCAATAGCCTTGCAGTTGGACGACCCAACAACCAACGGCCATAGGAGTAATTTCAACTTTTGGCTTGGGTAGAGGGCTGAATATATTAAAGGCAAGCAGACCATTGCTATATAGCATATTACAATTGTATGTCCTAGGTTTTTTTTTTTTGGGGAGGAGGTACGGCTAAGTTTGGGAGTGCTTAGCATCCCCAAGCCCCCCTCCAATTTGCGCCTATGCCAACGACGAGGTGCAACACAGCGATGATGCACGCGTGCACTGGAAAATATACCTATACTTTAGAGTCTAGAATCTAGGGCCTAGAGGGAGTGGGGGACGAGGGGGTGAAGACGCGACACAATGATTTACGAACGATTTATTCGATTAAAAACAAACACAAAAATGTGTTTATGATAAAAAAAAATTCCACTGACAAGACTATCTATTGTTGTTTTAGTCATTATCGCACACATGATGCAATATTATAAACAACAGTGCGGTCATAATATACCAAAAGGTACTTTGTTACTTCTTATTAAGAAATAGCTGGTATATGCGGCACCTGTATCTATGACCAATGTTATCTTGCATGCGCTCAAATACATAGTAAATTCACATTAGGTAAAAATAGGAAGGTAGTTATTTTTCATTACTTATTTTAAAACGAGCTATATATTGATTTTAAATAATAAGTATTAATAACCACAATATTGATTTATTGTTTTTTTTTATTATTTATTGCACAATGGAATTTATACTTTGCAAATAATGAGAAAGATATTGATATTATTATATCAAAACTATTTTAAAAACT